TCGGACCGGTCGTCAGTCCAGGGTTCAGTCTAGGGCCTCAGTCCAGTGGGCGTCAATCAAGGGCTCAGGCAGCGGGCCTCAGTCCACCGGGCCTCAGTCCCAGGGCCTCAGCACATCAGCTGCCGGGCGCGTCGTCCGCCCCGGCCGGCGGCGCCGATCGCGTCAGTCCAGCTCGCCGTGTCCATCTTGGCCACCTTGGGCACGGGCGACTTGGTGGAGGTGCCGGAGCGGCGTCACCGTCCGGTCGAGTCATCGCCGCCCTCCAGGCCGGACATCAGCGACTGGATCAGGTACCTGCCGACCGGGCACGTGCTGCCGAGGCTGGGCCATCGCCTCACACGCGGCACACAGCACTAGCGGCCGGCATGGACGGCGATGGCGGCTGGGGCTCGGGACGGCGTGAGAGGGGTGGCCGCTGGTCAAGTAACAGTATGACAAGCCACTGGTGCAGATAGACAATGCTCTGACAAACAGGGAGCATTGCAACAAACTGGCAGCTAGCAAGGACCAATGAGGTATGTAGACAAGTCACATTTCAAAAGTCACATTACCGGCCCTCCCAAACCTGCGCGGCGGTCTCACTCACTCACTCACTCACTCACTCACTCACTCACTCACTCACTCTCCTCACCCACTCACTAAATCACCCACTCACTCACTCACCCTCACTCACTCATTCATCATTCATTCATCATTCATCCCATTCTTCATCTCATCATTCATTCACTAGCCTGCCTGCCTGCCTCCTCCCTCCTCCCTCCCTTACCGAGCATGCCCTGTGCCGCTGCGGCGGCTGTATGCTGAAGAAGACGAGCCCGACCCGCGCCTGCAGCTTGGCGAAGGTGGGGTCGCGCTCCAGGATCTCGGCCGGTAGATGTCGCAGAGGGCGCGGAACTGGCCGCCTCACGCTGCCGGCCCAGAGCGGCACGGTCAGAACACACGCGTGGTCGGCACGGCACCCACCGGCCGCCTAGCGGGCACGGTCAGACCACGCGTGGTCGGCACGGCACCACCGGCGCCTAACGGGCACGGTCAGACCGCGTGGTCGGCAAGGCACCCACCGGCCGCACCGAGCGGCACGGTCAGACACGCGTGGTCGGCACGGCACCCACCGGCCGTCCAGAGCGGGCACGGTCAGACACACGCGTGGTCGGCACGGCACCCACCGGCCGGCCAGAGCGGGCACGGTCAGACACACGCGTGTCGGCACGGCACCCACCGGCCGCCCGAGCAGGCACGGTCAGACACACGCGTGGTCGGCACGGCACCCACCGGCCGCCTAACGGGCACGGTCAGACACACGCGTGGTCGGCACGGCACCCACCGGCCGCCAGAGCGGGCACGGTCAGACACACGCGTGGTCGGCACGGCACCCACCGGCCGCCAGAGCGGGCACGGTCAGACACACGCGTGGTCGGCACGGCACCCACCGGCCGGCCAGAGCGGCCGGCGCCGGTGCGGCACCAAGAGCCAGTCTGTTCCCGAGCCGTCATGTGCGAGACGCAGACGCTCGGGCAGCTACAGCGCGCGGAGGCTCAAACCTGAGTGCTTGCGACAGACTGCGAGATCGTTCACGCACCGTTGCCGCTGTAAGCGCCACGGGGGACCGGTTCGGACGTGTCCACGCGTGCGTTACCTGATGGCGTCTTACACGCACAACTGGCGCCACATAAAACCAACGCCGGTCCTCTCGACACGAAGCGCAGACCACAGCCATGACGGTCAACACAGACAAACGGGCTGAGCGCCTCTCCGGCCCCGGAATGACAGCCGGCCGCGGGCCCGTCTCACCTCTCCACCGCCTTCAGCAGGTAGTGGAGGAAGTTGAAGAGGGGCAGCGTGAAGGGCGGCGCGTCGGCCTGCACCAGCGGGTGCCACTTGAGGTAGCCGGCGAAGCAGGCGGCCGCTGCGTGGCTGTTCTTCAGCGCCAGGTACCTGCCGGCAGCGGAACGCCGGTGATGGGTCTCCAGGTCTCCCGGCGGTACGGCCATGGCGCTCCGTGTGGTGGTTGGCTGATGTTCCCCACGCGCGTTGCAGTGCGGCGATGATGTTAAACACATCAGCCGAAACTCCCTCTTGAAGATGCGATTATTGCTCAGTACAGCCGTGCAACCGCCGTCATGTAATGTGCCTATACACCAGCTGAATAGCAACAAATACAACGCAATGGCGGAGACGGTTCGGACTTGAGGAAACGCATATACCGCGAGATCAATCTCTGTACTTTAAGATGTAGCGGGGGAGTTCTGGTGCAGGCGATAGCACTGCGACTATAGTCTGTAGGTCACGTGCTCATCCGTAGGGCAGAGCAGAGCGCAATGACTACTCGTCACAGAGACCATCGTGGCAAGTGATAGCAGCGTCAAAGACGTCTGCAGTGCCACGGCTGCGGAAGGATCCGCACAATCAACAAACAAAGGCCACCGATGAGTTTATTATTCCACGTCGAACGGGCCGTGTCATGAGCGGACCGGTGTCATCTCGATGTGGCCGCACTCACTGTAGGACGGCCTGTGTGATGAACAGGTCGATCTCGTCGGCGGCGCCCCGCTGCGTGTGCAGGTCGACCAGGAGGCGCGCGCATGTCTGGCCGTCGTCAGAGCGTATCAGGTGGTAGCGCGCTCCGGCTAGGTCACCCTCTGCGGCAGTAGCATCGGCCGACTCGGCGTCAGGGCAGTCTCACCAGGCGTGACGTCAGATGACGTCACCACTCTCATGGCCAAGTCATCTACAGCAGTACAGCACCGACCGGCTCAACGTCAGGGCAGCCTCACCAAGCTTGACGTCAGATGACGTCACCTGTTTTGGCAAAATTGGGGCACGAGCGAAAGCACCGCACAGGAGACGCATGATTCTTTACGACTTTACCATACAAGAGGCATCTGGTGAACCATCGCCCGTGGGTCATAACATCGAAATCAGCAGCGAGGCAATTAGCGAATGTGCGAAAAACGACAGCGGCTAGTATCGAACACCGGGAAGCGGGAACACCAGAACTAGTCAACAAGCCATCGGGATTTCCAGATCGCCCAAGCCCTCCTCGCTTCTGTGCCTGGGCTAAAACGTGGCACCACAAGCCATCCTGCAACCACGAACTACTTAGCAGCCGTCCGTTAATCCGTGGGGATAACCGGTCTCATCATTCGTGGAAGCTACGTCACACATGGCCTCCACGAAAAGCAAACTCCTGGGCTAACGCTCCCGCGCTCATGTCGCAATTCTTCTCTGTCACGATTCGGACGTCTCATATCCAGCACACCCACCCTGATGGCATTAACTGATCGCCTGCCGCCCACGCCGTGAGACTGCGCACGCACGCACGCACGGTCGCGCCCCGCCTGCGCTGACCTTTCCAGAGCACCTTGCCGATGGCTTGGTGCAGGTCGGTGGTGTCCGCCCTTGGCCGTCGGCCCACCTCCTGCGACCAGCGCACGGCGCGGCCCAGGAACGACGGACGGTCGGCGGACTCGGCGTCGATGGCGGCCGAACAGGCTGCAACGTGCCGACAGCGCGGGTCAGGCGGCCTCGAGCGCGGCGCCGCCCTCGCTCCAGCGGCCGGCCTGCTGACCGCGCCGGCCGAACAGACACCGTCGCCAGCCGAGGGTGCCGGCCACAAGCCGAACATCGCTGTCAAAAGTACCAGGAGCAACCAAAAAGCTGGGGAGAATTTGACCCATCCAGGAATGGGGACGGGGGGGGGGGGGAACGATGTGCAAAGCTCAGAGTCCGAAATGGCCAGCCAGAGATATCATTTCCACACGAAGCCCTCGGATTTAGGCACACAGTACCATACAGGAAAACCCGCACGAAGTGCTGGGTCCGGGTATGACGCCAACGCCGCGGTCGCGTCCATCCCCACGCGACTTCCTGGCGGCGGTACGCGTCATGAGGCAGCGCTCCAGCACACAGGGCCCCCGCCTCGCCGTCCGTAAAGTGGCTTGTGATCTGCATGGCGCGGCACCAGCGCGGCGAAGGCGTGGCAGCCGCGCCCTCGCCGCCGCAGCCCGTGCGACAGGCCCCCGCTGTGAAGAGCGCCGCGCCCGCCCCGTCACGAGGCGTCCGCACACGCAGCGTACTGGACCGCGGTCTGTCGGCCGCGGCGAGGGCACGACGTCTGGTGTCCGCGCACCTGGCCACGTTGGAGACGGGCTGGGCGTCGCAGGACGTCTCCGACTTGGCCCAGCACGTCGATGTAGAGGGATATGCCAGGTGCGGCGCCGCTCTCGGTCTGGCCCTTGGCCAGCAGCATTCGCGCGCCGTCCAACAGGAGGGTCTTCAGCTCCGTCCACTTCTCCATCCCGAGTACCTGCCACGATGTCAGGCCCAGACTGGGGTCAGTGTAGAAATGGCTCGCAACAACTATGCACTGCAGTGAGCCAGCATGGCAAGCACTGCATTACAAGGTCTGTCTAAGTATGTCTTGTTACAGGTCGTAAGCAGCCTAGGGCTTAAAACAATTGCTCGCTGCTGATACACTATCCTAACCATGCTTGCTGATTTCTCATTGCCTCTGAGTCAGACTGATATGCAAGCAAATTGGTGAATGCACTAATAGAAATATCCCATTGACATGGCTTATGGACTATTCTGATCATTTTAAATAAAGCCATAAAGCAAAGTGATTCCAGCCAATAGAGCATAATCATGCTCAATAAATCTGTTCAATCATTTGGTCAGCATGTTTGACTGTCATGATGACTGTGCTGACATGCAGCATGATACCAGTAGCTTCCAGTCACTAAAACTGTGATGCTTACTGCAATATAAACTGTTAACCCCTGCAGAGCTTACCTAAAGTACAGTGTCCTGTACATCTGGTGTGCCTCATAGTACTCTCCATTGTCCACTGATGTCCGCAGCTTGGCAAGGACCCTGTCAGCGTCCATGCCCTTTCTTGTTGCCATGGTTATCACACCAGATCACAAGAGCTGCCGAAACAACATTGCTTATATGAGCAGGTTCAGACATTAGGACACAATATTTTGTAATGATGTGTTCACATGGAGAAAATGTGCAATCTGCATAGCTGCCTATAGTCTACATTAAAGACTGATGGCCCCCCTCAATGACATAGCAGTACAAACAATGTCAAGGTCAGATGCTGTCAGTATACTGTGAGGCAATAGATCAGTCCTGACCAAACCTGATGTTGGTTTAAGTAGCATTTATGTGCCAAAGCCTCCAAAGAATTGGGTAGCACTAGATAGTATGAACCTGTATATCAAAAGATTATGGGCTCAAAGTCCAGAAAAGCCTTGCAAGTTACACTTGAGACTGATGCAGATATAGCCAACAAGCTAGTATGCACATTACACCACACAACAGCTAGCACATCAGTCCATACAGTGGTGCTGTCAAGGGGCAGCGCACATGCGCATTGACCAGCAGCATGGGTATATTTGAAACTTTGCGAGCTCTTTGTTACAACAGTGGTCTAAGCTCCATCATTTTATTTCTTGGGTGCCATCAATCATGACAAGCAAGCAATGAAAAAACATCTATTTCTAAGCAATATTCAGTGGAGCTGAAAATCATGTACTGTTGAGGATCTGCAGAAGAAATGATAAAACATGTTATTTTTATCAGCTGAAATTGGACCACACCATATCAGCGGGCAAGTGATGTGAGCTTTTCTACACAGTTGCTTTAAAACACATCTTTTTCCTGGGTTATTTGTGACTATTCTGCAAGCTTTTAAAATCCAAGTGTGTTCTAGGAGATATTAAATCATACAGTTCTAATGGCCCACTACTTATTAGCACTAATTCATACAGCACATGGCCAAATGGTTACAATTAATTCATAGTGGATACTAGCAGCTTGAATTACACACATAGGCCAAACATCACAGCATTTTGCCAGTGGCATTCCTCCACATTATCTAGGTGTAGCATATTACGGCAGGTCCAAATTGATGTTCTAAATTCCTCGCACCATGCTCAACCAGTACAAATCACATATTACATCATGCATGTTGATCTGGCTCAATGCACATAGATATAATTTCACTGAGTGACTATCCGGAACATCAGTGTCATCGCACAGGCAACAATCAGTTCCAACAGATACATACGACCAGAATTGAGCATAAAATGGACCAGAAACTACAAATAGAGCAGGTATTCCGTCTTCACTTCATCGCCGTCATAGCACAAAACTAGGCAAGCAACAATCACTCGCAATGGCATCGGAAGCGTTCATGGCAATGTAAAACAACGACGAAATTGACGCGAGGAAGCGACGCATTGTGAAGGTTGTTTTGGTCGCCCTTACGGATTTGAAATGACGTCATTGCTCCAACCCCGTGGCGCTTCATCGCAAGCCATCCAAAGAATCTAGCCACCACATTACGTTACAAAAGGAAATTGCGCCTTTACACATGAAAATTGTGCACATGTAAAGACATGTCAGACGTTGGCACGCATAGTTCATGGTAAGTAACTAGAATGACAAGACAATTTTACCGTACCCATCAAGTTCCTGTTGGTCCGGCAGATAAGGCGTCGGTGTTCTCCTGACTTGTTTCTGATTCAGGCAGGAGTTGTACTCCACTCCAATCAATACATTGTCCTCGTCAAGGTATCACGATTGCTTTGAAAATGCGCGAGACTCAAAGTCAATGTTGAGGCAAATCGTGTCGGATGGGAAAGTGGAAGGGCCAGCGAAACTCAAATGTCAGCCTAGTATACTTACATATGCTTCTGTCACACCTTGTTAGCTTATTAAATAAAACACTAGCTATGCCCAGGGACATAGGAACAGCTTAATACCACCGTCGAACTGGGTAGGCCCGTTTTCCCGTCGTTCGTTTTTCAGCCGAAACAAATCCGCGCATCACAATAAAACAAACCTGACCACCGACGAAAGCGGTCGGGCCATTACCCAATGGAACTTCTTCCTGCGTCCCAGGGAACGTAGCGCACAATTGTGCGTACAAAGTGTACATGGCTGTCGTCATGAAAGTGTAAATGAAAAGAAACACCAAGAAAATTGCTGAGGTTTTATTTATCCCATGGAGTACTTGCAGTTTACAACAAAAGAAAGGTGCTTTGTTCTGATAATAACATGCGTTCAATACATCAGAGAATTGTGAATAAACGACACTGGTTCGACGTTTAAACCACGTTACACAATGTTAAACGATGCAAATGTAGCCAATAATTACTAAGATATAGTTCATGTTTGTTCAGATATCAGAACACAGGCAGGCTTCTGACTTCGAAACCGAATCCTAGACAGTGTCACGAAGCCAAAGGTGAAGCCGAAGTCGGTGGCTTCAAAGCTTCGCACTGCGAGCCGAAGCTCATGGCTTCGCATTTTGAAAACGTAAAGCCGAATCCAAAGCCCGTGATTCGAACTTAAGGAACGAGAACCCAAACCCGAATATATTAGTTCCAAATCGGAAGGCCGCAGCCGACGCTGCATTACGGATGCAGCGTTGTGATGCAAAACCAATTCCATTTTCGCGTCAGCTAAAACTCCATCACGCACATCGTAAGACTTTTGCGGAGTGATTGAGACAAGCTGCTGGCGTTATGGATGGGACAGTTTGGGGGACTATCGCCACCGTCTCCTGCCCAAGTACATACACAATGTTTTCTGAAGTTAACCTCCGACCGTCGTCATGCCCTGAGGAGAATGCCCGGTTAGCTTTGGCTTTCAGCCATGTATGCGTCGCAGCCTTGAAAGTGTATGGTATTTGAGAGTGATAGGGATGAAGACCTTCACTTGCAGTCATGTCAGGTTACAGATACGTCGGTGCGTGCACAGTGAGACGGGGTACCATTTCCACTTGAAAAGCACATTTAAGGGAATGTTTCACAATTTCAAACATGGAGGCAAGGCATCAAATATGATTTGACCATCAAATGTGCTTACTTCTAACTGTTGGTACGCCTTTGAGTTTACAAGCTGTTCTATATAACAAAATTAAGGTGGCGAAATTCATGAATTCTGAACCAAAAATGGCCCGATGTTGTGCTTTTTAATGCAGTGCTTCATCGACTCAGCCTAGTTACAACTTTGTCGATACACAGCACACACCTACAACATACTTAGAGCGGCACGTTCAGCTCATACACGACAGATTGAGCCACAATTTGGAAATGTAAGCACAAAACCCAGCTTGGATGTTTTCTGAATGGCACTTTCGGGGCATCGCATAATGTAACTGGGACTGAGAGCCCACATGACGTCATAGTAATCTGAAGGTCAGAACACAAACAATCTTCGTTGGTCAGTCAGCTGTGTGCTTGATGGCTGACCATCTACGCCTGACATAATTCGGGTGAATTAGAAGAAACATAACATACCGAAAGGCACGGCCACGACGGTAAGTACGTTTAAATGACACCCTCTCGTTCCATCGCTGAGCGGAGTTGGGCACT